TGTGGACAGCTTTCAAAGACAATAAATAGACATGATCTTCATAACTTTTAGAGGTTATAAAGTATGTATTTAATCAGCCCTCTACCAGGGTACATTATACTTCCAAATTTTCCTTATTTCCAACATTACTAGGGTAACATCTTCATGCATTCATTTTTGTGCACCTGTGCCTATTCCTTAGTTTACTATTTTACCCTCATTTCTAAGGCATATTACACTTGAGCTATGCTCTGCCTCCTGCAAGCAAGCACGCCTTGCTTTCCTTAGTTTATGCTATTTTCTCTACCTGGAATGCTCTTTTTCCGTCTTCACCTACTGAAGTCGTACGTATGAATCAGTTTTGGAGAGAATTTAAGGGACTACTTCACTCTCTCTTTTGTGCATGTATTAAAACACATCATCCGAGCCTCCTAGTCTCTCCCAGGACTCTGTTTTTCCTATCAGTTTATGAACTGATAGACGCAGAAATATGATCAATTGCACTCGTCTGTGTACTCTATCACAGTGGTGGGCACATCAAATAACTAGCATATTTTGACTTTGATTGAAGTGAAGAATCCGAATAACAGAAATTCAGAAGCGTCCTCAATATTGCATAGTGGGTTACTCTTCCTTTCTTTTACATCAGGTGGCACCCCATACTTCACGGAGACAGAGGAGTTGAATACAGGTTTAGTTTTTGTTTAAAGTGAAAACGACTGTGTTGTAGTTGAAAAGTAATGCTTTCTAGTTGTCTGTTAGAAATGTTTGTTGGTTGAAGACTTTGAAATTGCAGCGAAGACTGAAAATAAGCATCTTCGGTGGGCCAAATATTCATAAGGAAATTGTATACGAATGCTGGAGAATGGAACTGAAGTAATAAAATAAGGCCTTTGATCCTTCAGACTTCTTTTTTAGGCAGGCAGGTGGCATAACGAATCTTACATATTGTAATTAGTACTGAGAGGTGAATGCCAAGACGTAAAACAAACACAAAATCGAGACAATGTTAGGGTGACTGTGACGCTATGTGGATGAGTTGAGGCTTAAGATCCGGTGTGGCTCTCCTGAAGGCCCACCGCGCCCGCACCTAGGAGACGCACCCCTTCTGCTCATGCTTTGAGGCGGGGTGACCCACACATCTGTGCCCCTCTCTAAGCAGGAGGAGGCCCCGTCGCAGACGCGCGCGCAGACAGCGTCTGCAGCCGGCACCTGGGGCCGCGCGCCGCGGGGCGCCCCGCCTCCGCTCTCCGAGGCCCAATCATCGGGAGGCCGTGGGGGCACATCCCTCTCCCGGCCACGCCCCCAGCCGGCGAGGCTGTGGGTGCTTTTAAGAACCCGCGGCTGGCATTGGGCTCAGTTGGGGGTGCAGGGCTGTCACCGAGAGGATTCGGTGCCGATCCCTGAGGTGCTCGCGCGCGCCAGCTGTCCTCGCGGCCGCCTGCGCGCTGCCCGCCCGGCCGCCCGCCCGCCTGGGGCTCTGCCGTCCTCGCCTCGGCCTCGTTAGACCGCCCGGAGCCCCGCAGCTCCGCGGGAACCCGCGGGTAACTTGCGTCCCTAAGCGCTCCTCCAGCACCTGAGGGGGCCGCCTCGGGCCATGGTGCTCTCCCAGGAGGAGCCCGACTCCGCGCGGGGCACCGGCGAGGCGCAGCCGCTCGGCCCCGCGCCCACGGGAGCTGCGCCGCCGCCCGGCCCGGGAACCTCGGACAGCCAGGAGGCGGCTGTCGAGAAGGTGGAGGTGGAGTTGGCGGGACCGGCGGACGCGCAGCCCCGTGAGCCCCCCGAGCCCCCAGAGGGCGGCTGGGGCTGGCTGGTGATGCTGGCGGCCATGTGGTGCAACGGGTCGGTGTTCGGCATCCAGAACGCTTGCGGGGTGCTCTTCGTGTCCATGCTGAAGACCTTCGGCTCCAAAGATGATGATAAGATGGTCTTTAAGACAGGTGAGGCGCGGCGCCCGCCGAGGCCAGCCTGGGGGACCCGCATGGGGCCCCAGAGCGCATTCCGCGTGTGAGGTGTGAGCTGTGCCGCCCCTGAGTACGCGTGTCGGTGGGTCCCCGTGCCATAGGGTGCGAGCGGGGGGTCTGTCAGGTTGCTGACAGAGCTTGCAGTTTCTGGGACTTCGGGGTGCCTGTCTTTATGTGGAATCCAGCTGCAGATCTGTGTTTGCAAGCAGGTGGCAGAACTTAACGTGCCAAGATCGTCCTCCTTTCCCCTCCTCAGAGTAGACACTAACAGCCCACAGGAGCCCTTCCCTTTAATGTATAAAAACAAACAGAACCCCAGAACCTTCAACCCCAGACATCGCAGTGTCGTTTTTGTGGTCTCTTTCGTGACTATGCCATTTGTGTACTTGTACATCTGCCTACTGGGCCGCAGAGGGGTGTGAGTATGTTGGCGGGGCTGGGGGTGGAGTTTGGCGAAATGAAAGAGATTTGTACGAAGGTCACTGGAGTTCCTAAGGGGGCCCTGGAAGAGTCACGGTTCCGTGCCTTCCCGCCGCCCCCCTTTTGCCCTCTGTGCTAAATGTAGAAAGCATGGGAGGTAGCCGGATTAGGGACTAGGAAGAGGAAGGTGAGGGGTTGCCTCTTCCCTCTTCCTCTTGTGTTTTTTGACATTTTTTTTTTTAACCGTATAGTAAATTAGATATAAAAAGTGCAGATTCAGTATTTTCTCCCTGTAGAGCATTATTATGACTTTTTGGCTGACTAGGCAAAAACAAGTCTAAGACCTGCATGACACTTTAACATAAATTATTTCACTTTATCCTGCAAGGTGAGTGCTGTCAATCCCATTCAGGTGAGAAAACTGTAGCTTTCAGTGAAAGTGTCTTGGTGGGTAGCAGAATGGCAATAAAACATGTATCAACTGACTTCAAGGGCTAAGTCTGATTTCCATTACTAAATCAGAGCCCCTCCCTGTCATTTGGGGTAACTTTATATGATTAATAGTCTTTTTTTTTAAACCTTGATTTTCTATTATTTTTAGAGTGAATATTCCTTAGGTCTTTAGTATGCATACACGGAATGGGCAAGACTGTAATAAATTCTAAAACAAAGGTAATGCTGGGCTGTGTTGAGAGTTTTAAAACCTTATATAAATACTATTATACTATTTGTATCATTTTACAACTTACTTTTCTTCCATTCCACATCACATTTGTGACTTATCCACATAATACCTCAGTTTGAACTGATAACTCAAATTCTTTCCATTTTAACTTATATGGTTTGCATTGTTTGACTATATTATACTCTATGTATTCTCCCTTTGATGGACATTTAGATTGCTTCCAAATTCATTCTAAACAATGCTGCAATGAATATTGTACACTGTCTCTTTGTGCATGTGAATATGGTACCATATTTAACCTGGAATTTCTGTTCTTTAAATAGCTATTGAAACTGCTGTGGTATGCAGGTCAATGGGCTAGGTACAAAAAGTGTTAAAAATATAATAACATGTCCTTATGTTTTAAGGAAGGTAATCAATGTGAAGTATAGCAGGGGAGATATGCATATATAATAAAAAACAAACATAGTTTGGTGTCTTTTCTATGTAAATATTGGGAGTCTGAGAGGGAAAAGCCCCTAAAAGGAGGCAGAATTGACAGAGTTAACATTTAAAGACTAGTTCCAACATTTAGCATAATTCCTTCCGGGGATTACAGATTTTTAATGCAGTTGAGACAACAGCAGTCTTTTGTTTATCATTGTTTTTGCAAATTCAGGTAAGTAGATCCTTTGGTGTCTGTGGGTTTTTTTTTTTTTTTTTTTGAGAGAGAGCAATTGCTGGAGAGAGATCATAGCTTTGTCAGGGATCAGAATTTTGCAGTGTCAAAGCCTCTACTTACTACTTGTCCCCAGAGTTCCAGTTGGCTACAATATCCCAGTAGTGGGTAGCTGAAAGTGAGGGAAGGGCCTCATTTTTCTTTTGTGCTCTTTGAAACTTTGTGTTTTCTGTTTTGATTAATATCTTCTTTTTACTCAGTTCAGTCTTTGACAACTCTTTCAGTCATGTTTGTGTATGTGTGGGTGTGTATCATATAAACAATTTTACAGGTATGCTAGTTAAACGTGTGAAGATCTTTGTGCTTCTCTGCCTGACTGCTGTATATCTATATATGGTTGTGCCATTGCACAAGGGTGCCCAACTCAGGGATAAGTGGGGACTGAAAACCAGCCTGGGTTCTGGGTGCCCTTTGTCTGATTCCCACAGAAGGACCCTATGCACTTGGTAATGGCCCTGTGTAACACAGCATCTAGATTGAACAATGGCCATTACTCGGGTGCTAGGTAATATGTTTATGACTGATAGATGTTAAGGGCTGAGGAAAAAAACAGATTTAAACTTAATGGTGGAAAATATGGTTATAAGATAGTCTTTAAGCCACTTATTGTTGAGATCTCCCTCCCTTCCCCTGTCCCCACCCCTTTCACTTTCCCTCAGTGCACAGATACACACATAGGTGTTTCATAAAGTCCCTCATCTACCACAGGCACTGTTATTTGAGAATATCTGCTTTGAAGTTTAATTGTTCAGGCTTTTCCATTTTGATAGTCGAATGCTGAGTCATCTGTGATCAAGAATATGCAAGCTTCAAATACATGCCAAAAAATATCTGGAATTTGTTTAAGGCTTTTATTTTTCAAAGTTTTGGTCTATTTCCTTTTACCTTACTTATGATTGATAATCCTGGTGTTAGAGTACAGTTAGTTCTGGCTCCTTGTTTGCATTCGCTTTTTTATGGCAAGTGATTAGCCCTTATACAGAGAGGTGGTGGTGGAATGGAATCTAGGTCTCCAAATGATGGTGCACATTTCTTGTGTACTTCCCTATGGGTAAACATTTTAGATACATTCCTGTTTAAATCTCACTGTAATTATCCGATAGACTTTATTAATATCTTTCTGTTCAGATATGGGAACTCAGGGCTTACAGAGTTTAAGTAAGAAATGGAGCCAGAATTCAACCCCAGGCTTATCTGACTGCAAGAGCTGGGATTTTTATTTTTATTATTTATTTAAAGTATAGAATACTTCGTGAATTTGCATGTCATCCTTGTGCGGGGGTCATGCTAATCTTCTCTGTGTCATTCCAATTTTAGTAAATTGTCATTCAAAGTGCTGCTGAAGCGAGCACCGGGAGCTGGGTTTTAATCATTCATCATATTGCATTGACTAGATAACATTCTGCAAATACGATGTTCTTTATGTTGTTGATTAATTTAAGTGTTGGTGATTGGTTGAGTGCTCTACCACACATTCTGGGATTAGAAAGAAGTCTGAAAGATTAGGGTCCCTGTTTCCTGGTCTCACTTTGTGGTGAATAAACAACTGAAAATTATTAATGTCTCAAACTATATTTCTAAAGTGTGGAGAGACTTCTGTAGAGGAACAAGATACTGCCCTATGCCATTCAAGCAAAAGTCTGGGATTTCCTCTGAAGAATCATGCTCTTTTAGATTGAGCCACAGCAGGACAATGTTTCTAGGCAGAACTGAGGAGGAGAGTCTCAGGCTCAGTCCTCAGGGCTCTGTTAACTCTTCCTACACAATGGGTAATCAACCCACAATTTCTCAGGAAAGGGCCTGAAGAAGTTCATTCACACTAAGGTATAAGTGAGTTTACACATCTTACTGTTAATTCTCTTTCTATAAATGTTTACCAAGTTATCTAACACGCTCTGTTTTGGGCTCTGTGCTAGGCACTGGAGATAATGACTGAGAGAAAAAGCTACTGTTTCCAAGTAGCTTAGGACCTGTTGTGGGATACAAATTAATAACAGATCAGAAGTAATAGAATATTTCCCTGAAGGATTTGCAATATAACAGGATTCAACGTTATTCTAAAAGGCTGAAATTCTAAGGTCATTTCAACAGATGATGGGGGTGGGGAAGGCATTTGACGCCTCTTTCTCTATGGTTATAAATCTCACTTGGTGAAATTAAGACTTTGGAAAGGGGAAGTAAGCCGACTCCAAGTTGGGCAGTAGAACCAATGAAAAATGCTGATGGCATCACAGCCCCATTATGGTGCCCAGCTGCCAATGACATGGGACTTAGAGGAGTGCCTTACACACCCTGCTGTGTCTGAGGGAGTAAGCTGAGCTTGAGTTGTCTCTTTTTTTGAGATGGAGTCTCTCTGTGTTGCCCAGGCTGGAGTGCCGTGGTGTGATCTCAGCTCATTGCAACCTCTGCCTCCTGGGTTCAAGTGATTCTTCTGCCTCAGCCTCCTGAGGAGCTGGGACTACAGGTGCCCACCACTACACCTGGCTAATATTTATATTTTTAGTAGAGATGGGGCTTTACCATGTTGGCCAGTCTGGTCTCGAACTCCTCACCTCATGATCCACCCGCCTCGGCCTCCCAAAGTGTTGGGATTATAGGCGTGAGCCACTGCACCCGGCCAAGTTGTCTCTTTTTAGTGGAATTTTTACCTGTTCACATGTGCATGCTTCTTGCCTAGGTAGAGAGGAATCAGACACTTTGGGGAAGAATTAAAAAAAATGCAATTAAGTGGAACACTGTTTTTTTCCTTAGAAAGTCGATTTTGGCACTTTGAGAGGCTGAGGCAGGTGAATCACCTGAGGTTCAGGAGTTTGAGACCAGCCTGGCCAACGTGGTGAAACCTTGTTTCTACTAAAAATACAAAAAATTAGCTGGGTGTGGTTGGGTGTGCCTGTAATCCCAGGTACTAGGGAGGCTGAGGCAGGAGAATCACTTGAACCTGGGAGGCAGAGGTTGCAGTGAACTGAGATCCCGCCACTGCACTCCAGCACGGGCAAAAGCAAAACTCTATCTTTAAAAAAAAAAAAAAAAAAAAGTGCAGCTTTGTTTTAACTCTGCTAGATACTGGAAAACCCATGGAACTAATGAAGAGCCTAGGGTTTTTTGTTTATTTATTTGTTTTGCTTTGAGATTGTGCCATTGCACTCCAGCCTGGGCAACAAGAGAGAAACTTTGTTTAAAAAAAAAAAAGTGTAATTCAAAACATTAAAAATTCAGTAGTTTAAAAGTAGATTATCAAAAAGGTCTTGAAAGGGAGGCTCTTTGGCTATAATCTTTAATGCAATTCTACACTCCCTGTATGGAGACAGATTTCCTTTTAGACGATTACAGTCACAAAATAGGATTTTCAGTGGCATTTAGGGATGGATGAATCTTGCAGTACCTCTCCTTATATCTTGCTAGCCCTTCTGAAACTTCAAGTCAGCTAGTGCTTCCTCAGAATTTGTTCCTCTCACACCAAGTTTTCATGTTTACAGTTATACTGTTATCTGTGTCATACAGTTGTATGCAACACCTAGATTATAGGAAATTTTGGCTGCAGTTCAGAAGTTAACTGCTGTGTTTTGCCTGTATACTAAAGCAATTTTGTTTTGTTTGGTAGGAAATGCAGCCTGCATAACTAGCCATTTCTTTATCTTAGAAAAGTTTTTAGTAATAGTGCTTTGTTGAGCTACTTACAGTGAACGAATAATCTGGTTCGTGATCCTATACATCTTTCACTATAAGAAAAATACCTGATTGTCATTTATACTGAAGAGAGATAGAAAAGCTAAGAGAACTCACGACAATAAACCAATCTAAACTACCTGTTAAAATAAGTGAGAAGATTATAAAAATGGTTCTGGGATTTCAGAATAATAGTGAGTATGGGGTGGGCATTTCCTACTTCATTTCCAGAATGTTTCTTAATTCAGTGCAAGACTGAATAGTGTATATAGTGAATTCTAATTAAATACAACAATGTGAGATTCCTGTGGTGTTTTTCCACTGAATTTTATCAATAAAATTAACTGCTGAAAGAACCCAATTAGCCAAAACAAAAACCATAACACATTTTTTCAGATGAGATTTTGAGGTGTCTTTTAGAATAAATTGTTCTTTGCTCTTGATGTGATTTGCTATATCTTTTTTGTTGCAGTTCCTTGAGGCTCAGTCCCTGGCCATGTACTTACTTCACTTTTCCTGTCCTCTTCCATCCACTGTCTTGGGGCTGTTATTTCCAAATCTCATCTCTGTGTTCACCACCCTTATTTACTATTTCTGGACAGTTCCATTCGAGTACACGGGTACATCATACTAAACTAACATGAACTCATTTTTCAGCCATTCCCTACTACCTTCCCCTAATACCAAAAATGACAGCCCACTTGTCGACACTCTTCTGAATTCATATTTCTCCTTCTTATTTCTCAGAGCATGATACGTCTGGTTGTTTAAGTCAGAAACCTGGAATTTATCTTAACTTCTTATTTCTCCTTCTTCCTTACCTGTTTTGCTAAATCAGAGTTCTTTTGTGTTTATCTCCTTAATGTCTCATAAATCAGTCTCCCTTTTCTTTCGCTGCTGTGTCTTAATTCATGCCTTCATTTACTTTTTATTTCATTTTTTGAGATAGGGTCTCACTGTGTTCCCCAGGCTAGAGCACAGAGGCATGATCATAATTCACTGCAGCCTCAAACTTCTGGGCTCAAGCAATCCTCATATCTCAGCTTCTTGAGTATCTGGAACACCAGGCACATGCCACCACGCCCACCTAATTTAAACTTGTGTGTGTGTGTGGAGATGGCATCTTGCTATTTGGCTCAGGCTTGTCTTGAACTCCTGGCTTCAAGTGAGTCTTCTGCCTCAGCCTCTGTAAGTGTTGGGACTACAGGCATGAGCTACTGTGCCTGGCCACCTTCATTACTATTGGCCACAATTATTGTCATAATCCCTTAACAGGATGGCTTGTCCTCAGTTGTACATCTGAGTGATTTTTCTAGAAGATTGAACCATATGCTTTTTCTGTTTAAATGCCCAGTGACACTCATTACTTCTAGGAAAACATCAAACTCCCTACTCCGAAGGCCTGCAAGCTCTAGCCCTTGTCTGGCCCTCTAGCCTTGCCCCTGCCTCTCTCCCCTTATTGGTGTTTGTGTTCTAATAAACTTGTAAGTGTTACACTGGCCCAAATTTGTCTTGCTGCATTTTGCCTCTATGCCTCTGTGTGTACCACTCCTCTCTTCGTGTGATGGTTGGTCCTTGTAGGATTCTGATGAAATGGTTGGCCATTTTATTCTTATGTCACAACCCTGAGATGCAAACAGTGATTTTATCCCATTGTTACGTATTTGATGCACTTGGAATATTGAGGGTAGCTACATTTTGGAGTTTTGAGAATCAATTCAAATAAGTTACAAATTATGCTTAAAATGGTAGACAGAGAACTTAATTTCAACCTATTTTAATAAAGCATTCTGTGAAAGGTATTTTAAAGATGATCTGTATTTGTTAAAGTGGTGATTTTTATATTCTCTGATATGGTTTGGCTGTGTTCCCACCCAAATGTCCTCTTGAATTATAGCTCCCATAATCCCCACTTGTCATGAGAGAGACCCGGTGGGAGGTAATTGAATCATGAAAGCAGGTTTTCCTATGCTGTTCTTGTGATAGTGAATTAAGTCTCATGAGAACTGATGGTTTATAAAGAGCAGTTCCCTGCACATGTTCTCTTGCCTGCCACCATGTAAGACATGCCTTTGCTCCTCCTTTACCTTCCGCCATGATTGTGAGGCCTCCCTAGCCTTGTTGAACAGTGAATCCATTAAACCTCTTTTTCTTTATAGATTACCCAGCCTTGGATATTTCTTCATAGCAGTATGAAAATGGAATAATACATTCCATTATCATAAAGAAAAGGCTTTCAGGTACATTACTTTATTTATTTATTTATTTATTTAATTTAATTTTATTTTATTTTATTTTTGAGACGGAGTTTCGCTCTTGTTACCCAGGCTGGAGTGCAATGGCGCGATCTCGGCTCACCGCAACCTCCGCCTCCTGGGTTCAGGCAATTCTCCTGCCTCAGCCTCCTGAGTAGCTGGGATTACAGGCACGTGCCACCATGCCCAGCTAATTTTTTGTAGTTTTAGTAGAGACGGGGTTTCACCATGTTGACCGGGATGGTCTCGATCTCTTGACTTCGTGATCCACCTGCCTCGGCCTCCCAAAGTGCTGGGATTACAGGCTTGAGCCACCGCGCCCGGCCATTACTTTATTTTTTAGACTGGCCTTGTGGCATGTCATTACCTCCATTTATAGATAAGGAAGTTGCAACTTGCACATTTAGGATTGGGCTAG